GTTTCCTGACACGGAAAGAAAACAGAACACGAATCTTCAGAGTTTGTAAATGTTATATCTTCCATGAGATCGTTACCAAGTCCTAATTCCTTCAGACAAGCACTTTTTTGCCTCCTAGTCTTTCTTTGATATATGCTTGTCTGAAACAGAGAAAAAGTGCTTTGTTATCGGTATAACTTAATTCAAAATACTGTACAGTCAAGTCAAAGCTACAAGATCGTGTTCCAGGTTTGGTCTTCTCTCGCTTAACTTTTCTGGGTTTCCCTTAATTGATCTGCCGTACAAGTTGGGGTCAACAAAATTTGATTTTGTTTGCTTGGAGACCTTTCAATTCAGAAATTGAGGTTTTAGGGTTTTTGCTGGATCTTCTTTGTTATGGTTTAGTGGGAATTGAGCAAAAAGGGTTTCAAGCTTAAGTTTTGATGTTGTATGCTTTCTGAAGCTGAGTTTATTCCTTGTACAGGTTTTATCTATTGCCGATTTAGAGAAAATCTCTTGAACCCAACGATTCTCGTAACTGTGTTTATGAATGGCTGATTAAGGCTGAGTCCTTTCCATTGAGTAAAATCCACCAATTATGGGTAGAGAAGATTTGAGCTTCACAAGATTGGCGTGTACTGCTTTCTTGGGTCTGTTAATGTTATTGTATCCCAAGGAAGCTTCTGTATCAGCATCCTTTGTTGGCTCGAGCGTTTGTCAGTATGATCACTTAAAGTACACAAAGCCTTATCAACAAGGGAGTTTGTTCACAATCAACGGAACTCCGGTGGACAGAGTCCGCTTTTGCAAAGCCATACGGTTTCACAAAGCTAAAGGTTGTATCTTTGGGGACTCTTTCAGAGACGACTTCTGCACATTTCACTATCTTCTAGGTATGCTCTTTCAGATAATTTTGTTTTCTTTTGATCGAGTATGCCAATTTATAGATATTTTGTTGGTTTTTTGTGGCTCTTATGCTCGCCACACGGTTAGGTAATTTTGTTGTGTGTCATTGAACTACATTCTGCTTTTATTCAGGGAGAAGATTTTTGGAAGAAAAATCTGTTGAAGATTCTGAAAATAATGAGGCTGAACCTGAATATCATCCTGTTAAAGTAAGCCTGGCAGCAAGCGGGTTTCTTCTCTTCTGTTGTGGGCTTTGTTGTCCTTGCTTCCATAAGGAGAGGAAAGCAAATAGTCACGAAGTACTACCCAAGGAATCTAACTCAGGTGACCAAGTATCTCACATTTATCTCCACTTTGTAGAGTTAAGCTCATTGGTGAATTGCAGAGAGCAAGAATGACTTAGCTTAAATTTTAACTTCCAACTTTTGGTTTCAATTGAGTTGGTCTTCGCTTTCGACTTTACATCATCAAAATGTTTAATTTTAGTAAGGCACATAGTCATTGACTTAGGGAACAACATTCAATGCCTTATTTGTGGTAGGAGAGCAGTATATTGCATTGTTCAGACCCCAAAGATTGAAGTTTCAGTTCTGTTTGTAGAGCAGTATTTTTGCTTTTTTGGGTTAAATGTCAGGCTATCGAATAGGATTTGACATTGAGGTTCATATATCTTTTCACAGTGCACCAAGTTTCCTCTTTTGAAATGAGCCCTTCTTCTGATAAGATTCCACCAAGTCCATTCCGGGCACCACCAAGTCCGTCCCGCGTACCTCAAAGCCCATCTAGATATGCAATGTCGCCAAGACCTAGTAGAATGGGACCCTTGAATCTGACAATGAGTCAGATTGCTGCAGCAACCAACAATTTCTCAGACATTAATCAAATTGGTGAAGGAGGCTTTGGGATAGTCTATAAGGGCATTCTAGAGGACGGCCAGGTGGTTGCCATTAAACGAGCAAAAAAGGTACTTTGATAACTCTTCATTTTCATTTCTCTTGTGGTATCCAATCTGTATTCCATCACAAGTCATATATTGTTCTTTATTTATAAAGACAGACAACGTCATAGAACCCTATAGATCGGATTCTATCGGGATAGTTTTGCCGGTACTCTCCTTCCGTTCATTCTAGAGAACAGAAAGCTCCCTTTTTTAGATCAAAATCCTATCATGATGACTTGCCCTTAATTGTTAGAGAATAGGGAAAACTCTAAAAATGGGAAATCCTAGATAAATAGAAAACTAGCATTAAGTTAATTAGAAAGTCTAAATAATGGAATTAATATGAGAAATCTTCTAATTATATCGAACGTCTATCACAATGTTGAACCTTTACATGATCAACCTTAACTTATTTGTTAATAAAGTTCCCAGGGACATACGACATCCACTCTCTCAGATGTGGGGACCCTGATACCGGAGCACGAAATTGTGTTCTCGCGCTAATTATATGAGGTTTAGTCTTTGTTAGTGTAATGGTGCTTTGTGACCCCAAGATTAGGACTCGAATTAGAGATCTCTTAGGCAGTTTTCTTCGGGTTTTAAGACGAAAATATATCCATCCGCTCATGTGTTTTATACAGTGCCATGGAGACCCTAGTCACCACAATCTGGAACTATTAAGCAAAAAACTTCTCAAGTGTTTTTGAGCTCTAGATTATAATTTTCATGCAGGAACACTTTGAGAATCTGCGAAAGGAATTTAAAAGTGAAGTTGATCTTTTGTCTAAAATTGGTCATCGAAATCTAGTAAAGCTTCTTGGTTATGTTGATAAAGGAGACGAGCGACTTATTATAACCGAGTATGTCAGAAATGGTACACTCCGGGATCACTTGGATGGTAAGAACTTGTTCACATGTTCTTGACCTTGTCGCGGATATAAGAACATATGAATAAACGATAAAGCCTCCCCATTTGTAACTGCAGGTGCTCGTGGAAGCATTCTCAATTTCAATCAGAGGCTGGAGATCGTGATCGATGTTTGCCATGGATTGACTTATCTCCATTCTTATGCAGGTAGAGAATGCTATGCCTATTATTGTTTACCATATCATAGAGGCAAGTGTTAACCTTGTAAGGATCTTATTTAGGATTTTACTATTCTTTTGTCTTTAAAACAGAGAGACAGATTATCCACCGTGACGTAAAGTCCTCCAACATTCTCCTCACGGATAGCATGAGAGCCAAAGTGGCGGACTTTGGGTTTGCAAGAGGCGGTCCGGCTGACTCTAACCAGACCCATATATTAACTCAAGTGAAAGGAACAGTTGGTTATCTCGATCCTGAGTACATGAGGACTTATCAACTCACCGCCAAAAGCGATGTTTACTCGTTCGGGATTTTGCTAGTGGAGATACTCACAGGCCGTCGCCCAGTGGAGGCCAAACGACACCATGATGAGAGGATTACAATTCGATGGGTAAGCTACCTAAAGTTTCCTCTCCTACTTGCACCCCTATTACTAAATCGGTGGATAATTTCAAAGTTCTGGTGGGTTTCTTGGCAGGCATTCGACAAGTACAACCAAGGGAATGTGTTTGAATTAGTGGATCCAAACGCGAGGGAGCGAGTAGACGAGAAGATACTAAGGAAGATGTTCAGTTTGGCGTTTCAATGTGCTGCTCCGACACGAAAAGAGCGGCCAGACATGGAAGCTGTTGGGAAGCAGCTTTGGGCTATAAGATCCAGTTATCTTAGGCGGTCGATGGAATAATAAAATAAAGAAATGCTTTTCACACAATGCTTTAGTCTCTGTTAGATAATTTTACTATTTTGCCATCAAACCATTTCTTCTTTCGCACTGCCCAACTGTCACTGCCGTATTCCGAGAGTTTATTGATATGATTTGGGATACTCGCACAAGCGCATGTGAGCAAAAGAAGTAAACTCTTATGTTCATTGTACATGAATATGAATTAAACCAACTTTTTCTTCCTTAAACCTTTTACCGACTGCTTTTTAAGTTGTAGACTTTTGTACATGGGATGCTGATAGTTTTATTTAATATGCACGACACATTTTCTCTACTCTAATACTCTGTCGACAGCGAGGCTCTCCGCTGTCATGTCGGAGGAGAAGGTTGGGTAGTTTTGCAGTGGTCTCGGGTTTGGGAGTGAATGCCAGCTGTTCTACTCAGAAATCAAATAACGAAATCAAAAATGTTGTTTCTTTCGGATTGAGCAGGGTTTCTTGTTTGAAGTTTGTTTTATGTCCTGTCAGTGCTTCTTTCCGCGTTTAATATCGTTCGTCGATTTGGTCTTGTATAGTTTAGCTTTTGGTCTTTTATGTTCTTTGTTATCTGTGTAACGAAAACGGTAACAAATTTATACATGTTTACTAGAAAAATAAACGAAAATACGGCTCTCATTGGCGTCATGAGTTAACATTGATTTAGTTTGAGTTAAGAGTCTAACTCAATAATAACTCAAAAATATTCATGTGTCAAACAATTTTCTTACAA